CAAGAAGCTGCTGCTCTCCACAGGAGGAGTGAAGTCTTGCAGCGACGATTGCCAAGCCACCGCCAGCAACGGTGGAGCTGATAAGGAACACTATCCCTCGGCACGCGGAAGCAGATGATCCAAAGACGCTTATCCAGAAGGAGCTAGTCGCCTTGTTGGAGCACGACAACGCGAAATACCCCATGTCGGACAGGTCTGGCAAGTCTCCGCCTGTGATACCCGAGCTGGAGGACTTGGACGAACAAGAGTTGAAGGAGGTATCGAGGCATTCCAGGAGGAGGTGAAGAGGCAGAGCGACAAGGAGAGAGTCCTCCAGATGAGATACGAGCGACGCTTGTCTTGCAGGAACGATCTGAGAGGACTGGTTGCTGAGGACGATGCTGGAGTTGGATCTGATCCAACTGTGTAAATATTTGTAATGGTTTAAATGTCTAGCGATTGTACCAGCATCTTCGGTTCCTAAGTCTCTTTGGTTCACAGCTCGTTTCTTTGAATCAATGGTCCAACAGTGTAACAATGAATTTTATTCTGGTAAACATCCAGGAATCTCGGTTTTCCTCACATGGTGTTTGTGGCACCCCTGTAGAATGTGCGGAGCATAAAGTATGAGGTAATCAGCTTAATAAAGTTGGAAGGAACCTTCGTTCCACTGAAATGATATGGTGTTAAATGCATGCAAGCCGCGATGTTAACATCGGAACCTTCGTTCCACTGATTGATATGGTGCTAAACAAAACTGACAAGGAAAAGATCAACTTAATGGGACAACAAAGACTGTTTACGGATCGTTTACTTTGGGACCGCGTAGGCTGTTCATGAAACATGGTAGAAATGAAAAACGTGAAAGATCTCTGTTGGATCAGTGGCTCAACTCTCACTGGTATAAAACCATCTTCTCTCCCTCTATCATTCATTCATTAGAAGAGAAAGCAGCATTACTACAGAAACTCTCTCGGCTCCATCACCAAATACTTTTGCAAAATTTGATCCATGGCAGCCATGTTGCTCTTGTTCGTGATCATGGTGACAGCAGCAGCGCTATGGAAGATGGTGTGTATCCGCAAGAGAGAAGAGAGGGCACGATTTCTAGCGTCGCTCCACCCCGTGAGAGACGCCCGCAAGATCTTGTGGTACATGTACTCCGTGGAATTCCCCTTCCTGTCGCAAAAGGCGCTCGAGTTTGGCACCATCCGCACGCTCGGCATCCCCGGGATCACAAATCTGCTCTTCAAGACCAAGTACGGCCTCAAGGATCCCCAGAAGCGCGCCGCCGAGACCAACATTCTGGTGAGCGAGATGATCCACCACCACGTCGACAGCGATCGCGGCTCGTACGCGGTGAGGAGATTGAATGGAATCCACAGCAAGTTCAAGATCCCAAACGACCAATTCGCATACGTCCTGTCCCTCAACGTGATCAGTCCCATTGATTTCTCCGAGAGGTTTGGATTCCGCAAGTGGACCGACAACGAGAAGCAGGCCGCCTATGTTGTGTGGCACGACGTGGGCGTGAGGATGGGCATCACAAACATCCCGGACAGCATCCCTGAGATGTGACAATACATTCGCGACTACGAGGCCAAGAACGCCATCTTCACGGACAAGAACAAGAGCATCATCCAGGATCTCAAGCATCTGGTGCTGGACGCGTTTCCTCGCCCCTTGCAGCCCCTGGTGGAGACGGGGATCTGCGCACTCATCGATCCCACAATCAGGAGCGCAGTGGGATTGGAAAAGCCGCCCGTGATTGTGGAGTGGATCATCTTGGGTGCGTTCAAGCTCCTGGCTGGGAGCTGCGTGTCCGTGTTTATGCCTCCCAGACGTGTAGGGGATGCCAAGGGCAGCATTGAGGTGGACTGGTGTCCCAATCCTGCTGCCAATCCGGAAGAGTACCGGCAGCTCAACGTGAATGTGTATCGGCCACCGGCATTTGAGAAAGGATACAAGTTGGCAGAGCTGGGAGCGCTGAAATCGGGCAAGCTTGGACCATACTACGATGGAGGATTGCGCTGCCCCTTCCAGCAAATGCATGCATAATACAATCGTCACTACAAGACTAATAAACTTCCGCCAACCTCAACGTCTCACTCCCACAAATAGTGTTTTGTGCTTTTGTAAAATGGGCTTAAACATTACTGAATAAACAATTTCTTTATACTCACCTCTATACTACAACGTTAGTAATATTTTGCAATTAAGATAGATCCCTGTAATCAAAGAAAGTCCTGTGTTACGAGATTATCAAGTAGCAGCATTTCCTTGTGCCCTGGATCATAAGACCATTTTATCATCATCACCACATAAAATAGAGATGGTGTAATTGAGTTGTTTTTATCGTGAAGCGCAGCTGGTGTAGTGGTATCATAGTACCCTCCCACGGTACTGACCGGGGTTCGATTCCCCGGCTGCGCAGGTCCTTTCGCAGTTATGCAATTGTTTTTGCACGATTAGATGCTGTGAAGTAAGAATGTCGTCCAGGGAGGTGTTCCTGGCGGGGATTCACAGGGGAGATTTATTCGGCGCCAAACTTGCGTTTGATTTCCTGCCAGAGAGGCATTTGATTTGCTGGAGCTCGCTCCTTGCAGCGTATGCCAAACGCGGGCATCTGGAGGAGGCAAAGATTTTGGTAGATGGGATGCCAGAGCGGGATCTTGTCTCTGCGAGGACTATGGTCAATATCTTATCGGAAAGTGTTCTTGTTAGCGAGTCTAAGATTTTGTTTGATAAGATGGAGCAGCGAAATGTTGTATCGTGGACAGCCATGCTCACAGCATTTGCGAAGAACGGGCATTTGTGTCAGGCGAAAGAGATCTTTGATACGATGCCCGAGAGGAACTTGGTCTCTCAATGCGATGCTAGCGGCGTATGTCCAGCAAGGAAGATCTGTCGAGGCCAAAGAGTTTTTTGACTCGATGCTCATGAAAGATTTGGTGTCGGCCAACACGATGCTCTCAGGGCTCGATCTAGGCGACGCGGTGGAGCTATTTGAATCCATGGAGTACATCGATATCGTCTCTTGCAATGCGATCCGGAGATGGAGGCTGACATGGCTGACGTGATTGCAAATGCTCAAGCCGCTCTCCATAAGAGGAGTAAAGTCTTGCACCGAGGATTGCCAAGGCCACCTGGAGCTGATAAGGAACACTATCCCTCGGCACGTGGAAGCGGATGATCCAAAGACGCTTATCCAGAAGGAGCTGGTCCCCTTGTTGGAGCACGACAACGCGAAATACCCCATGACGGACAAGTCTGGCAAGCCTCCGCCTGTAGCTGGAGAACTTGGACGAACAAGAGTTGAAGGAGGTATGCGTGTTTTACTTGCGATGGTTTCGTCGTTCTTGCACTCCCTTGGGACAGGCTGCGCGGGAAATAGAAGAGGAAATCACCCTCGTGAGAGCCTCTCTCGGTACTACACGGTTGTCCGGGATGCTTTAGCCGATGACATGACTTACTTCCCCCAGAAGAGCGGCTACGAGCGTGCGAGCCTCGCAAGCACAGCCGAGCGGCTGGCGGCGGCACAATACGAGTTTGAGGCCGTGAGGAAGCTCATAGATGGTCACACGAAGAAGGCTCTAAAGCTGGAGCAAAAGATCTCTGTTCTAGCCGGCTACAAGGTATGAAACATTCTTGCGAGTCTCTCTAACTTGGTTCATTTCCAGAGGAGGGGTGACAGGCTGTGGAAGTAGATCGAGGCGGCTTTCAGGGAGGCTGAGTCGCTGGGCACGGAGCTGCAGTGCTATCGATCGGTTCACCAGCAAGAAGAGCTTATCGCTCCTCGCGGAATTGAGGCGTTCCAGGAGGAGGTGAAGAGGCAGCGGGACAAGGAGAGTGTCCTCCAGATGAGATACGAGCGAATCTGAGAGGACTGCCGAGCACGATGGATCAGAGTTTAAACAGAAGCAGGTGGCACAAAGGTTATTAAGCTAACATTCTTCCTGTTTAGCTCAATCGTGTTGCTACTAACTTATCCTGGCATTCATTTCTTTGCCCGCAAGTTCCTCGGCTTCTTCAAGCGGAACAAAGCAATCAAGTATACTTAAATATACATTAGTGTTAGTGTGGTAAGCATGGGATTGATTGGTTATCCATCCTTCAGCGTCTGCTGCAAGGGTTATTTTGCTGTGGTACGCAGTCTCTGTAGCAAGAGCAGTAAGAATTTCATCAGTATCAAAGAGCAGTTCAAGCTGTAGGAGAATAGTGAGGTAACAAGGCATGAAGGATTGTTAAAAAGATAAAAACAGGAATTAGGAAGAGAGAGTAGAGCATTTGCAAAGTTTGCAGAGGACATTGTGTTTTTGTAGTCATCAGAATTTATGCATGAACAAAGCAAAAGACCATCCACAAGCACAACCAGTTCTAACTGCTACCACCCATCAGATTTACCATACGAACCCACCAATAGAGTCATTGGCTCGATGGCAGATGCAGAGCAGGATGATGCAGAGCAGGATGATGCACAGCGCACTGCCACAAATCATCTCTATGTTCTCCTCAGCCATACACAAGCTACATAGCTGCATATCTGCCCAAAAAGATAGCCACCTTGGAAAAATCTACCACCACCTTTTTCACACTCCAACTCCACCAAAACTTACATCTTCTTCATAGCCCCAAAAATTATGTTAAAGAGATTGGCAGAAAACACATAAGCAAACAAACTCCAGACTGAACTGCCACCAAGCTTTAGAGCACAAGTAGCTTTGAGAGACAATGCCCATACACAAGCTAGTGGAAAGAAAATTGCCACAAGCCCCAAAACAAAATGTCTACTGTTCCAACTTTTAATCTCGTCCTTGACTTGCCTCATCTCCTTGAGGTAGAGAGCACCGCATCTAGCACGGATTCTGACTTATCACGATTCAATTTGACATTTGCTCATTAATTCTGCGGTGTGTAAGTCATGTGTTCAACAAAGCGGAAAACATGGACAGAGATTAGTGACAAAAAAGGGTACTCTGGTTCGGATTAGGGCTATAGAAAGTCTTCTTTTCCCTTTTTATCTAGCGTTCGCAAAGATTAGCCGCAACCACGTATGATGTAGCATGGCTAGGATTCAGCTCCAAGACTCGCTTGGCGGCAGTTCGTCCATGGCCAACGCTGGGATTAGCCTTGCAAGCAGCGAGAAAGCATCTCCAATCCAAAATGTCGGGATCAAATGGCATGTTGGCGATGAGATCTTCGGCATAGCTCAAGTTTCCAGCTCGTCCCAGGAGATCCAGCATGCAACTATAGAGCTGCTTGGTGATCTTGGTCACACCAAAGTCTTGCCGCATCGATCGAAAGCAAACTTGGCCAGCTTCCATCTTTCCTGCATGGCTGCAAACAGCGAGCACCGCAAGGAAGCAAGCCTCGTCCGGGAGAATCTCCACCTTGAGAGCGTCAAAAGCGGCCAAGGCTCGATCAAAGCTCCCGGTGCGAGCGAGTGCCACGATCATCCATGTCCACGAGACGATGTCACGATCTGGCATGCGTTGGAAGATCGAATATGATAAATCGAAGTTGCCGCTTTGAGCGTGAGCAATGAGCATGGACGTCCACGAGACGACGTTGCGCTCGGGCATTCCCACAAAGAATCTCGAGCACTCCTCGAGATGTCCCTTCTGAGCGTACGCATCGAGCAGTGCGTTGGAGCTCTCGAGACTGTGCTGCGGCATCTTATCGAAGATCTGCTTGGCCTCCTCCACCGCAAAGCTTGATCCATAAGCTGCCACCATGGAGCTCCACGAAACTAGATTTCGCTCGGGCATCGCATCGAAAATCTCTCGACACTTCGTCATCTCTCCTGCTCGACCATATACCGTGAGCATTGCGGTGGCCGAGATCACGTTGTGAACCGGCATGCTTTGGAAGATCTTTTCGGCTTGATCGATCGCGGAGCACCGCGTGTAAGTGGAGAGGATCGCGTTGCAAGAGACGATATCGATGTACTCCATGGATTCAAATAGCTCCACCGCATCACCTAGATCGAGCCCCGAGAGCATCGTGTTGGCCGACACCAAATCTTTCATGAGCATCGAGTCAAAAAACTCTTTGGCCTCGACAGATCTTCCTTGCTGGACATACGCCGCTAGCATCGCATTGAGAGACACCAAGTTCCTCTCGGGCATCGTATCAAAGATCTCTTTCGCCTGACACAAATGCCCGTTCTTCGCAAATGCTGTGAGCATGGCTGTCCACGATACAACATTTCGCTGCTCCATCTCATCAAACAAAATCTTAGATTCGCTAACAAGACCGCTTTCCGATAAGATATTTACCATAGTCGTCGCAGAGACAAGATCCCACTCTGGCATCCCATCTACCAAAATCTTTGCCTCCTCCAGATGCCCGCGTTTGGCATACGCTGCAAGGAGCAAGCTCCAGCAAATCAAATGCTTCTCTGGCAGGAAATCAAACGCAAGTTTGGCGCCCAATAGGTCTCCCCTGTGAATCTCCGCCAGGAATACCTCCCTGGACGACATTCTTACACTACTCCCTTCACAGCATCTAACCGTGCAAAAACAACTGCATAACTGCGAAAGGAGCTGCGCAGCCGGGGAATCGAACCCCGGTCAGTACCGTGGGAGGGTACTATGATACCACTACACCAGCTGCGCTTCACGATACAATCAAATCCATTACACCGTCTCTATTTTATGTGGTGATGATAATCAAACTAGATAAAATAGTCTTATGATCCAGGGCACAAGGAAATGCTGCTACTTGATAATCTCGTGACACAGGACTTTTTTTGATTACAGGGATATATCTTAATTCCAAAATATTATTAACGTTGTAGTATAGAGTTGAGTATGTCCACCTGTCATAGCTGAAGAAATTGTTTATTCAGTAATGTTTAAGCCAGCACAAAACAAGCACTATTTGTGGGAGTGAGACGTTGAGGTTGGCGGAAGTTTATTAGTCTTGTAGTGACGATTGTATTATGCATGCATTTGCTGGAAGGGGCAGCGCAATCCTCCATCGTAGTATGGTCCAAGCTTGCCCGATTTCAGCGCTCCCAGCTCCGCCAACTTGTATCCTTTCTCAAATGCCGGTGGCCGATACACATTCACGTTGAGCTGCCGGTACTCTTCCGGATTGGCAGCAGGATTGGGACACCAGTCCACCTCAATGCTGCCCTTGGCATCCCCTACACGTCTGGGAGGCATAAACACGGACACGCAGCTCCCAGCCAGGAGCTTGAATGCACCCAAGATGATCCACTCCACAATCACGGGCGGCTTTTCCAATCCTACTGCGCTCCTGATTGTGGGATCGATGAGTGCGCAGATCCCAGTCTCCACCAGGGGCTGCAAGGGGCGAGGAAACGCGTCCAGCACCAGATGCTTGAGATCCTGGATGATGCTCTTGTTCTTGTCCGTGAAGATGGCGTTCTTGGCCTCGTAGTCGCGAATGTATTGTCGCATCTCAGGGATGCTGTCCGGGATGTTTGTGATGCCCATCCTCACGCCCACGTCGTGCCACACAACATAGGCGGCCTGCTTCTCGTTGTCGGTCCACTTGCGGAATCCAAACCTCTCGGAGAAATCAATGGGGCTGATCACGTTGAGAGAGAGGACGTATGCGAATTGGTCGTTTGGGATCCTGAACTTGCTGTGGATTCCATTCAATCTCCTCACTGCGTAAGAGCCGCGATCGCTGTCGACGTGGTGGTGGATCATCTCGCTCACCAGAATGTTGGTCTCGGCGGCGCGCTTCTGGGGATCCTTGAGGCCGTACTTGGTCTTGAAGAGCAGATTTGTGATCCCGGGGATGCCGAGCGTGCGGATGGTGCCAAACTCGAGCGCCTTTTGCGACAGGAAGGGGAATTCCACGGAGTACATGTACCACAAGATCTTTCGGGCGTCTCTCACGGGGTGGAGCGACGCTAGAAATCGTGCCCTCTCTTCTCTCTTGCGGATACACACCATCTTCCATAGCGCTGCGGCTGTCACCATGATCACGACCAAGAGCAACATGGATGCCATAGATCAAAATTTGCAAAAGTATTTGGTGATGGATCCGATCGATCTTAGAGAGGGAGAGAGTTTCTGTAGTAATGCTACTTTCTCTTCTAATGAATGAATGATAGAGGGAGAGAAGATGGTTTTATACCAGTGAGAGTTGAGCCACTGATCCAACAGAGATCTTTCACGTTTTTCATTTCTACCATGTTTCATGAACAGCCTACGCGGTCCCAAAGTAAACGATCCGTAAACAGTCTTTCTTGTCCCATTAAGTTGATCTTTTCCTTGTAGCACAATATCAATCAGTGGAATGAAGGTTCCGACATTAACATCACGTCTTGCATGCAATTTCTTACCACGAACATCGAGACTTAGTCTCTTTAATTTGTTTAACACCATATCATTTCACTAGAACGAAGGTTCCTTCCAACTTTCTTAAACTGATTACCTCATATTTTATGCTACGCAAATTCTACAGACAAACACCATGTGAGGAAAACTGAGATTCCTGATGTTTACCAGAATAAAGTTCATTGTTGGACTGTTGGACCATTGGTTTAAAGAAAAGAGTTGTGAACTGGAAGGGCTAGCTTTGTAAAAACAAGTCTTTCCAGTTAAACCAAAGAGAATTAAATCAAAGTGGAATCAAAGATGCACAATCGCTAGACATTTAAACCATTACAAATATTTACACAGTTGGATCAGATCCAACTCGAGCATCATGCTCGGCAACCAGTCGCCTCAGATCATTCCCGCAAAACAAGCGCCGCTCGTATCTCATCTGGAGGAAGCTCTCCTTGTCGCTCACCTCCTCCTGGAGCGCCTCGATCCGGCGGGGAGCGATAAGCTGCTCTTGCTGGTGTAGCGATCGATAGCACTGCAGCTCCGTGCCCAGCGTCTCCGCCTCCTTGAAAGCCGCCTCGATCTGCTGCCACAGCCCGTCGCCCCTCGTCTGGAAGTCAATCAAGTTAGAGAGGCTCCCAAGAAAGAACACGACGTAACGTACCTTGTAGCCTCCGGTTAGAACAGAGATCTTTTGCTCCAGCTTCAGAGCCTTCTTCGTGTGACCATCTATGTGCTTCTTCGCGGCCTCAAACTCGTATTGTGCCGCGGCCAGCCTCTCGGCTGTGCTTGCGAGAGTCGCACGCTCGTAGCCGTTCTTCTGAGGGAAGTAAGTCATGTCATCAGCTAAAGCATCCCGGACAGCAGTGTAGTCAGCGCCTTCCTGACCGAGAGAAGCCCTCACGAGGGTGATTTCCTGTTCTATTTCCCACGCAGCCTGTGCCAAGGGAGTGTAAGAACGAAGCAACCATCGCAAGTAAAACACACATACATATCTTTGGCATGACATATCTTTCATCTTCTTCAGCATACAACAGAGTTTCAGTGGGAGTTTTGGGGATAAGTTTATAGTCGCAGGATGCACGACATTGATATGCACAATGCTAGCAAGGTACTTCAATCTGCAGTTGGGAGTCTTCTCTTTAGGTCCTGGTCTACTTCTTCAAAATATTGCAAGGAGATACCTCCTCACTGCTACGGGTTTGACTGAGGCAGCAGGGCTCCTTGCCTTAAGTGGTCTCAAACGCGAACAGAGCCGACAACAGCTTGTCCTACTCAGCTACTTAGCGGCTCTTACAATCCGTTTTTGTGGATGTAAGAACGAAACCAAGTCACAAATGCTACGTCTCCGTTCTCGGTTCTGGGAGTACCTCATGTACATGTGGTTGCCTCGATGTCATCTCTTACTTGACTTATGGATCCTTCTAACATCTGCAATATTTGTAAGTATAGCTAGGAGAAATGAAGTGTTTAGGATATGGAGAAACAAGGAAAATCCACAGCGAGCAGACCATGAACAAGCTGAACATATGTTCCAGGTGGTCGACAAGATGTTATTCGGAAGCAACTTACAGCGTCAGGCTCTTGGGGTTTTCCAGTACATGAAATACTTCGATAGTCAGTATACTTTTCTCTGGGTAGAAGGTACGGGTTTGCTAGCGTACTATACGATCATCAATCTTCTAATCAATCATCCAGTTAGTGTACTCAATTATCATATTGCTGTATCTTAGTGTGCAGTGCTCTCCAGATTTCCTTGCTCGTATAGACATCGCAGTCGAGCTTGGACATGGATTCCTTTCTCCGAAAGATGCCCTTCGTGGGCAAATGCGTGAATTGACGTAAAAACCCTGTTCTTGCGGATGACTGGCCACAATGTGAATTGATATCTTGACGCGATCGATCTCTTCTCTGCGCTTCCAGCGATCGCGATCGATTCCAGCAACACCTCCGGATGCTCCAATTAGCTGTCTTTTAAGGTATCTTTAAACTCTTGGCATCTACTTAGCAATCAGTACACATTTCATGGCAAGCAAGATTTTCCAGTGGGAGTGGTTCCATGACTTACTACAGTTTTTTCACGTTCTAATGGAAGGAACGCCCTTGGAGGATGTGCATAACCACGAACACATGGTGCAATACTGGCTAAGATGCTGGAAGGCTATGAATTGATGTGCTATGTGATATTCTTTGAACTGGCCCGTGCTACAACTCGTGCTTGCCTCGTATGCTTTGCGGTCCCATTCAAGCTGATCATGGGTAGCATACAAGGTCAAGGATACTTGGTCAGACAAAATAGCACCAAGTCTAGCTTATGTTGCTGTTCAGCTTTCTGCACCAGACATACACAAGGTTACAAGGACCATTATAGAAGCTGAAGCAGCATTAAATAGTAGAAAGCAGTGTGCTGTATGTATTGAAACAATGGATGCTGCACTGCAACTCAACGAGTTTAAGACGAAGATCTGATACAATCGATATGGCTCTATGTGGCATGGCTTTTGCATCGGTTGAGGAAGTAGATGGCAATTATCAGATTGTACGAGATCTACGTAATCTTCTTATCCTCATTAGGCTGTACCATAAGAGCATGTTCTAACCGAGCAGTGAGGATGTTAAGGAGCTGAGAGAAAATCTGGCGGTTTAACTGAAACAATTTAGTTTGATCCACTATGAAAATGGATATAAGGTGAATAGCGCACTGGCTAGGCAATGGGGATACATTGGTGATGGGGACTGGAAAGTTATGAAAGCTCATCTTTGCTGCTCCAGGCTCACGATCAGCCTAGAGAGGGAGAGAACCTCAGTTTCACAGCAGTGATTCTTTGGATGGAAAAGAGGAGAGGCCCGACATTCCTACAAATAAGGTTCAACCGTGAAGACCTCCAAAATTGAGTGCGAGATTTGATGAAGTTCTTATCTCAATTTTGTGGCAACCTGATATTGGTTGAACACATAGACGTGGTTGACACTTTTGGCTAGAGTCAGAGAATTCACCTGCAGCAATTATCTGTTTTTTGACAAGTTCGCTGCCTCAAATTTCTGTACTTGGCACCTGTGGAAAGAAAGACATCAAGTTGCTCTTCTACTATCATGCTCTTAACGGACAGTGGCTCGCCTGTTAAGGTGCTCTAGCCGTTTGCAGCCAATGCTAATCCAAGCACGCAACCAGCTCGAAATTTTCCCAGTCGTGGATCTGCTAGCTACAGCTTCCACCCCTCGAAATCCGTCAATCCGACCAGCAGGAAGCGATGGAATCCAATCAATCGCAGCAAACGTACCATTGCCGCAACAGCCTTAGCGAGTGACGCCTTGTTCTAGATCGATCGCTGCGAGGCGCATTCCCTCCAAATTGGCGACAGGATGCGAAACGCGCAGATCTGATCGCGGCCCGGCGCCTCTACCAATTTACAAAAACACAAAACAAGCACTATTTGTGGGAGTGAGACGTTGAGGTTGGCGGAAGTTTATTAGTCTTGTAGTGACGATTGTATTATGCATGCATTTGCTGGAAGGGGCAGCGCAATCCTCCATCGTAGTATGGTCCAAGCTTGCCCGATTTCAGCGCTCCCAGCTCTGCCAACTTGTATCCTTTCTCAAATGCCGGTGGCCGATACACATTCACGTTGAGCTGCCGGTACTCTTCCGGATTGGCAGCAGGATTGGGACACCAGTCCACCTCAATGCTGCCCTTGGCATCCCCTACACGTGTGGGAGGCATAAACACGGACACGCAGCTCCCAGCCAGGAGCTTGAACGCACCCAAGATGATCCACTCCACAATCACGGGCGGCTTTTCCAATCCCACTGCGCTCCTGATTGTGGGATCGATGAGTGCGCAGATCCCAGTTCCACCAGGGGCTGCAAGGGGCGAGGAAACGCGTCCAGCACCAGATGCTTGAGATCCTGGATGATGCTCTTGTTCTTGTCCGTGAAGATGGCGTTCTTGGCCTCGTAGTCGCGAATGTATTGTCGCATCTCAGGGATGCTGTCCGGGATGTTTGTGATGCCCATCCTCACGCCCACGTCGTGCCACACAACATAGGCGGCCTGCTTCTCGTTGTCGGTCCACTTGCGGAATCCAAACCTCTCGGAGAAATCAATGGGGCTGATCACGTTGAGAGAGAGGACGTATGCGAATTGGTCGTTTGGGATCCTGAACTTGCTGTGGATTCCATTCAATCTCCTCACTGCGTACGAGCCGCGATCGCTGTCGACGTGGTGATGGATCATCTCGCTCACCAGAATGTTGGTCTCGGCGGCGCGCTTCTGGGGATCCTTGAGGCCGTACTTGGTCTTGAAGAGCAGATTTGTGATCCCAGGGATGCCGAGCGTGCGGATGGTGCCAAACTCGAGCGCCTTTTGCGACAGGAAGGGGAATTCCACTGAGTACATGTATCACAAGATCTTGCGGGCGTCTCTCACGGGGTGGAGCGACGCTAGAAATCGTGCCCTCTCTTCTCTCTTGCGGATACACACCATCTTCCATAGCGCTGCGGCTGCCACCATGATCATGAACAAGAACAACATGGCTGCCATAGATCAAATTTGCAAAAGTTTTTGGTGATGGAGCCGATCGATCTTAGAGAGGGAGAGAGTTTCTGTAGTAATGCTGCTTTCTCTTCTAATGAGTGAATGATATGGTTTTATACCAGTGAGAGTTGAGCCACTGATCCAACAGAGATCTTTCACGTTTTTCATTTCTACCATGTTTCATGAACAGCCTATGCAGTCCTAAAGTAAACGATCCGTAAACAGTCTTTCTTGTCCCATTAAGTTAATCTTTTCCTTGTCACCTTTGTTTAGCACCGTATCAATCAGTGGAACGAAGGTTCCGACATTAACATCACTCCTTGCATGCATTTAACACCATATCATTTCAGTAGAACGAAGGTTGCTTCCAACACATATTTTATGCCATGTGCGGAAAACGGAGATTCCTTGTTTAACGGATAAAGTTCATTGTAAGACCATTGAGAGGAAAACCGAGATTCCTGGATGTTTACCAGAATAAAATTCATTGTTACACTGTT